AAATAACGTTAAGAATGGTCTTGACAGTTCTAGTTTTGGAGATTCTATAAGGGCTAGAATATCAGAATAAGTGCACTTTAACATATTGTAGGCCAAATATCAGATTTAATGTCGTATTGGATAAACTATATAAGCTCTCTTAATCAAGTTCAAAAGGAACTGGTGTATCTCTTGCAATTTTGGAAATAAAGGGAATGGTTTATGAAAGGCTATATAATTGAAAAAAAAAAGAATATGTATAAGAAATAATTGGTTCATCTCCATTTCGAACCTGATTGACATTTTATGATATTGAGTAATCTCAGCGAGTTAATAGCAAAGTGGAACACTGACTTGCACTGACAAAGTGATTAGATGACGCTGATGTCACTATAAATATACATTCATAAAACCAAGACCAAATAAGAATAATAACACATAGCCAATACCAAAAGAATAATTACATCTACATGCAGCCCACGTGTGATCTTCACCTCTTGATTTTCACCTTTGACTCACAAATAATGCCACCTGGTTTCAGCTTTAACAGATATACCAATTCAATTAATTTTTTGTACTAGTACATAAGTTATCATGTACAAAATAATGCAATAACAACATCGGTGCATCGCCACTATGTAAATGGTATTTGCGTTGCCAGTATGTGAATGAACAAATTGATCTATACATAATGGACAGATTACTACTAAAAGTATTCAAACTAAGCAGTGAGATGTACCCTCTTGGTGTGATTTAGTACTTAATTATCATAAACAAATCATGAAACATGTATATGCGGTCACAATCGTATGTAACAAAATATGGAGTAATTAAAGTCCACAAGGAAGGAAGAAAGAAATGAAGGAAGAAAGAAATACACATAAATCAACATTGTGAGTAAATAAATAACACAGTTACATTGGTTATAATAAGACCATCAAGAATACGGTGTAATTAAGCTTTAACAAATTTTTTATTCAGATTAACGGTACGGGGAAAATAAACATATATGCCATTTGGACGATACGATGATGCGTTAACAAATTTAACATTAAGGCAATTAATGCAGTATCACCCTAGCTGCCTGACCGGAGAACGGTTAACTAAATCTAAAGAGGGCGTAGAATTTACCATTTATACTTTGCATGTAAATACAATATGTGCGAATATATCTGTTTCTCTCACCTGCAAAACTGCTGCACCCCTGGACTATATACGAGAGCACTGAAGACTGAGCACCTCTCAGGAACTTCTTGGTTCTCGTGGACTGCCGTGGGTTGGAGTGCTCGTGCCACCAGAATATATACCACTCTGTCGTTGGATGAGAACATCTCAATGTTCAAGGATATCATAATCAGATGACTCCTTTGTCCTGGGTATTTGTCCAATAAACCCAATGTGAACCTATCTGAGGCTGTCAATCACCGGATAACCTTAGCCTATCAGTGTGCAGTACTTATCACACACATGACTTGTTACTTAACCGCAATGCCTTTTCCAATAAACAACGGGGTCGGCGTCCTAGCTGATATACTTTCATTAGAGCAGCGCTCCGCTTGAACAAATATAGGATTCCTAGGCATAGTAATTGTTAAAGATGTCGATGCATTTTTAAACTAAGACGATAACTCCCCTGAATGTCTCACTTGTAATAATACTAAATAAATAAAAATAAAAATAAAAATTGAAAATAGGGAAAGGTAACAGTTGCTTGCAAGATGTGAAAGAGCATTAATATGCAGGGCAAAGGCGGATCCAGGAGGGCTTTCACAATTCACAGTTTCTGGAAACCTGTCAACGTGGAAACCTGATTGAAGAAAATGCCACTTGACAGGTTCCCACAAAATTGACTTCCCTCCACGAGGGTTTCCTCGGTCTTCTCTGACTGTTTTGCTTCCAAATAAAATGAGAAACCCTGTGAGATAAAGTCATGACTCCTTTATCCTGGGTATTTGTTGGTTTGTCAATATGTCAAAAAGGTTTACAGTCAAGCTTTTTCTCTTAATTTTTTTGTTACAAATACAGGTAAAATATTAAATAAATGATTAACTTTTTTATTACAGGTTTTAACTAGGATAAGCTACTTTTCAACGTTATGAGATTTACAAAGGATTGATAAGTGGCATAAATTTTTATATATTCATTATTATGTAACTGGCAACAAGAAAGAAATAAATGGTCATATCCGAGTACTTGTTACTTCTGTGTGGCATATGTGACAGTGCCTAAAAGAGATTTAAGGATAGATTTATAATAATTTTTATCAACTGAATTGAACCGAACTGAACTAAACTGAACTACTCATCTACGTATCAAAGGGTAATCATCTTGTTAAAACCCTACGGAATCCAATACATAATTAAAAGTTTATTTGAGAGAGGCCTTTTTCGATATGTTTCAAACTAGAGAAAAACAGAGAGAGAAAAGAGGAGAAAGATGTGGTGAGAGAATATCTTTCTTGACTTCCAGTCTGGCAGTTCATGGATCGAAGAACCAAAGAGCAGCTTGCCTCATACAGACAATGATATATCTAATGGATAAGTGGTGGTGATAGTGATAACAGGATTTTTGGTCGGAAATAAAGGGTTTGAACATTTTCCCAAGTTCGGGCATTGCGGAGTCGCAAAGTATAAATGATCTGCTTTAATGACGACGCTTCAAGTCATATCCGTCTTGAAAAAATATACATACAAGGGTACTCCATTTTAGAGTTTCAATGTTGAAAATGACGAACACCGCTGTTTGAAACTCCATAGACAAATTATAAAATCAAAAGAAAAATGTTTAACCAATTAACTCACGTCTAACAATTTACTTTTTAAATATCTAAGATATTCGAAGTCGTTATCATAAACATGTCATCTTATATAATCCAACACATACAATATGTTGTTAAAATATAAGATTTCAAGGTCACACTTTTTCAAAAATTCAGGTGAAAAAATGACTTTTAAAAGTGTAAGTTATATAGTTCAAATAAAATCCGGTTCAAATCAATTCATTTTTTCTGTACTGGTGCATGGATTATCATGACCCTGTAGAATATGATATTAAAACGTAATTGGTCCATTACCGTTCTGTAATTGACGTTTCCATTACCAGTATGTAATTGTTTTTCTCATATCAGCGAATATTGGGAATGGACTGTTGTTGGCCTAATAGATTACCTCGTGGTTGTGCAAGGTTAGGGTGGTGATTGGGTGACTGGCTGTTTGTGTTCGTTCTTGCTGGAATTGGGCCCTGTGAGGACCAATGGCTGAGAGAAACGAAACGGATCTCCATTAGGTTATGGATTCGTTATAGCTACACGGTATTCCTGTATTCAGATTTGCTGGATGTTTCATTGCGTGTTAGAGTGTCTCTCTCTGTGCCAGTAATGATAACGCTGCGTCACAGTACAGTGAAGAAGAAGGAAATACCTTCGCTTGGTCGACCTGCATATCACGTCGATGCGCCCATTAAACTGTGGCTTGCACATACCACCTTATGCTTTTTGGACGACCACAAAAGTTGTGTTTAGGCTATTATTGTGTGTTTCAAAAATTGAACCTCTGGGGTGAATTGGGGAGTGAATTTAAAGACAATTACATTTACTTACATTTAAACATTTCCCGTGCCCACGGGGTCTCAATGTTTATGAGTGCATATAAGAACCCAATTAAGGAGGTCAGGTAAGGTAACACTTTAGGTAACACAGGTATGACAAATCTGCTTTTGTCGCTTATTTGACATGTTTATTTATATTGTTGTAACATTTTATCCTTCTTATTAAGGCATATAAAATAATTTGTTATAGATGAAAATTTTTGTAGAGTTTCATGCTAAATTTATTAATGTTTCAGGATTAGAACAGCCAGCTTGTATTAACCCATTTTTATAACTAATGAAAATTGTTGAATCCTCACTTTTCATGTCCTGCTTTTTCTAAAGAAGCAGATGGGGTTGGGCAAGTATTTCTTCTAGACGGGGATTTCTATCTGGAAACAATCTTCCCTCATATAGAGACTCTAGAAAGATATTGGAGGTAAAAAATAATAATAATGGAGGTAAAAAACAAAAACAATTATAAATGGAACTAGCGTTCAGTATGTAGCACTTCAGCTAATGTATTTTATTTCTGATTGTCCAGGCTTGCATAAAGTTCAAGCTCAAGAATGGAATAAAAATCAATGGAAAGTAAGGTGGCAAAGTAAAAGTGTATCGCAACGGAGTCTAGGAACAGTGTGTGGTGACAACCGGGATGACATTGATACCAAAGTTTTCTGCCTTTGCCGTAGAAGAGGCGTGTCTTGGGCAAGGTAGTGGGACCATATGGTTAGACGAAATCAGAATCTAATATTGGGTCGTGTATTCATTGCGGTTGGGGAAATAAATAAACAATGCATCTTTGCACGAACTATTTAAAAATATTTTTTAAAAAGTGTCACCTTCAGCTAAGTCAATGGTTTTCTGCATCACAAGTCAGGCCAAAGTTATCGTAAGAAATAAAATAGAGAGAGTAAAAGTGAATGGATGTTCTGATCCATGCAGTAGAATGAGTTCACATAGAAAAAGAAAAAGAGTGTACTTACGAAGTAATAACGCACTGCCATCAGGAAAACGGGTGTCATTGAGCAGATGAGCTGGTCAAGTGGAGAGAATAAAAATACAGACCTTCTTTACGGTTCATTGACGGTTCTCTACTTCCTCCAAAACCCTGATATAGAAATTAGTGGTATTATAATGTCATTCTTATCGTCACTCTTTCTTTCATCTTTTTCACTAGTTTTGCCATCTAGTATTATCCTGATCAACAAGTATCAGCTAAAAAAAACACACACATTGCTATAGCTGTATGTTAAGGCGGCCAAACTAACACAACCGATTAACATGACATCCACAAAGAAAACCATGCTGCATATACGGAGTTACCGATTGCAGTGCAATCTTATCTTGGAGGAAGCGTCTTTAAGTGTTTCCGATATAAAATGTGTACTACAAAAGATATGCGGCCGGCCAAGTGAGACGTGAGATGCACAAGGTTTGATAATAATTTTTTTCATAAAGCGAGATGCACTATTTATCAACCAAGAAGGAAAATTGTTTCAGTGTGTTGTCAACAAGACTGGCGCAGTATCAAGTGAAAAATACTATCAAAACATTGCTTTTGATAAACGCACTGGTAAGTAAAATGAGAATGTTTAGTTTATTTGAAATTGTTGAGTTTTTTTCTGTACAGATTATTAACTCTATTCCCCACTTGGTGCAACTGTTTCCATTTACATCTTTAAGGTCGTTGATCATTAAAGTAAATTACTTTGGTAGTTATTTTATCGTGATCATTTTAAATGGTCAAAAGCCCTATTCTACAACATCTGGCATTTCATGTTACAAGTGATGTTTTGTCCAAAAAAATAGGCTGTTGGTTTGCACATCTTTGTAACGAATAGTACTATCCGATTTTAACCACAAACTTCATCTTTACCAGGTGAAGGCGACTCATTGAATTATACAGTTCCGGTAATTCGATTGATTCACTCATCTACAAGTAAGACCCATGTGAGTCGCGCGGTATCCTATTTTATTTGACTGCAGTGTTCGTTTCATCAACAAGGAAGGAAAATAAGTTTTAGAGGTGAGAGATGAAAATAGATAGTTCAAAACGTGTTTTAATGAACACACGAGTGAGTTAAATATTCTTTTTAACATCGCTATCGTTGACAACATAAGTTGCAGTAGTTAAATGGTTTCTGCAATGAGGTCAAATCGAATGTATTAATAGCACCAATGCATAGTAGCCCAGAGTTGCCAGTTGGAGTGTATCCTTCCGGATAAACTGCCGGGCTGGCGCTTTTTCAAATTATTTTGAACAGTAAAAGCACGCAACAATTCTTATTCAATATGCTACAGGTACCTGTAAGATGAGACGCAAGTGGTTTGATTTACATATTTTCCACTCAGGTGTTGTTTTCGTTTCATCAACCAGGAAGTGAAATTAGTTTCAGAGTCATTGATGAAATTATAGGCAGTTCAAAAATGTTGTTATGAATACATCAGTAAGAAAAATAAATGACTTAAATCTAGGTTTCGGGCAGTTTAGTTTTGCATGGAATTTTTTTAAAGATGATTATCTTCATTTCAACTTTGTACATTGTGCGCCATTTTTATATAAATTTCAAATATATTGACACCTGATGTAAATCAAGTGGATATATCCTTTTTTCAGTCATTTCTCTGTTTCAGCAGATTAATTAAGCCGTGTGAACGTAAAAAATAACACCCGGATGCAAATATTATACCTATATATGCATTTTATTATTACAGCACAATTATTGAGGAAAGTAAGCATGGTGGACAAAAATGGTATGCATAAAAGATCTGAATTTTAATTTAAGAAATTCGTTCAACATTAAAGCTATTGTAGTAAATGTGTGAGTGAGAATACATGCAGGAATGTTAGTCCTGTGTTGTGAATTTATCTGAAAATACGTGCATTACATTCCTATTTATAAAATAATATTCTTATATTTGTTCCCTTGAGTTTATTATCGATGTAAATGTTCAAATTGTTTAACAAGTGCGTAATTAAATGCTTCTTCTAGATATCACGGCAATAACCGCTTCTAAAAAACAGCAAAACAGTCCGCATGTGAATGTAGCATACAGGCCCGGAACGTCATCAGATGTGGATCTTGCTGAAGGGGACACACCAAATGTGTATGAGAGCTTAATGATTTCTCATCCAGCCGAAAATACTACTGATCCACACAGAAAGAGCATAAAACCACTGAAGACAAAAGTAAAGAAGGGATTACTCATAACACTAATAGGGATACTCTGTGTTGCACTGGTAATTACTTTGTCGATTGTGTTTGCGCGTGAGGGATATTGTGACAAACTTACTCAGCATTTAGACCATTTGATCTCAGCAGAAAATGGTTTGAAAGGTAAGTACAGAAGGTTATTTTTCGAGATTTTGTTTTCATTTTGGACACATCAAAATCAGGACTACTGTCATATTTCTGTTGGCACTTTTTTTTGCTACGTGTGACCAATATAATATATTTGCTATAATGATAAAAAAAGGAAAAAAAAAACACAATAATCGACAAAAATATATTTTGGAATCCTAGAAATCAGTGGATGTTCCAGCCATCCTCGTCAGGATGGTGGGACATGTGTTGGCATGGTGTAGTATTATCGATGTTTGTGCTCTATCGGGTGCTGTGGGGCACACGTTTCTCTTGTGGTTTTATATGAAATATCCCATTGAACAAACCATGTGTGTTTACCCATGCACGTTCACGGACTTCAGTGTTTGTGAAAAGGTGTTGTTTCACCAGGTGTTATTCTTTAGGGAGAGAACAAGAAGATTATTCTAATTATATCAAGTATCATTAGCACAGTAAAAATGTGTTACAGCAAGAGATCCATGTCGCAGCCAGCCCTGTCAGAATGGTGCAGAATGCAAGAATCAATCTGAAACATATTTGTGCAGCTGTCCATCCGGTTATACTGGTAGAAATTGTGAAACAGGTAAGAACTTCAGTTGTGGCTCTCGCTAAATCAGTTAACAACCACTAAAAACTTATGAAAAAACCTCTCACATTTTGCCAATGTTTTCACACAAGATCGGCAATTTAGTCTACTTTCAAGGGGAAGAATAATTAAAGGAAAGTCGTAAATGAGCAGAACGATTTATCCCCTATAAAATGCAATGAAATATGTTATAATTTTGTTACATGCAATGTTCATTTTTTAAAACTGTTTTCGAGAATGTTTAGAGAAATCGACAAAGTACCATGAAGCAATGTAAGTAATATGTAATTTTACACGCACTTGATAACTCACACACACATATCCCCAATGTTATTGGTTCTACTACATTGTAATCAAAATAGTTTTGATATGAAATATTATCATGCTGTATATTTCCATAGTAACCAACCATTGCCTAAGCTTACCTTGCAAAAACGGCGCCTCGTGTGAGAGCTTGATGGGTTCTGTTCGATGTTCTTGCACTTCCGATTTCCGTGGACCAAGGTGCGAAGACGGTTAGTAAATGTTCACAGTTAATGTCCTTATTACATCATGATTTACAGTGGGACTTTTTGAAAAAGAAATTTATGACATTCAATGTAACAGCTCATACGGGTTCTTTCAAAAACATTAAAAACTCTCATCTTTATTTTTTGTCAATATTTTAACGGAAAAGCTACATAATTTCAAGAAGTATATTCATAATTTCAAAACGTATTTATAATTAAGGTGATGGAACTAAATTGAAATGAACTTCAAAATAAAGTGTTAGACCCAAATTTATTTTATTTCGCTGCAGATATAAATGAATGCTTGAACAACCCATGTGCAAAGGGCGCCACCTGCAGAAACAATTATGGAGGTTTTCACTGCAGTTGCCCACCTGGTTTCACGGGAACTTTTTGCCAGCTAGGTAGGATGTCAAACAATGAAGCAAAATTTAAACAAATTCCAAATTAAGTTAGACCTTACATGATTTCAGGGCATTTCGTTTTGTAATATTTGGTCGTTTTAAAAAGTTGTTATACATGTATTTAAACGAGTGAATAGAGTTTTGTTGAATTATTCCCAGCATTATTTTTAATTTACCGAATATCTATTGGAATTCCAGAGATCAGTGAATGCTCCAGTCGTCCTTGTCAGAATGGTGGGACATGTGTTGACATGGTGAATTCTTATCAATGTTTGTGCTCTGCCGGGTACTATGAGTCAAACTGCCAAAGTAAGGGTTTAACGTTTTTATATGGCTTTATATTAAATATAGCCTTAAATATATCAGTGTGCGTGTGTGTGCGTGTGCGTGCACGTTTGTGATTGTGTGTCTGTGTGTGTGTGTGGGAGTGTGTGTTTGGGCACGCACATTCCCGGAATTAGTTTTAATTAACATATGGGCGTGTTTGTCTCTGTGGGAAAGAGCAAGAAGGTTATTCTAATTATATCAAGTATCATTAGCACACTAAAATTGTGTTACAGCAAGAAATCCATGTCGCAGTCAGCCCTGTCAGAATGGTGCAGAATGCAAGAATCAATCTGAAACATATTTGTGCAGCTGTCCATCCGGTTATACTGGTAGAAATTGTGAAACAGGTAAGAACTTCAGTTGTGGCTGTCGCTAAATCAGTTAAGAAAACCACCAAAAACGTTTGAAAAACATCTTATATTTGACTATGTTCTCTCACAAAAACGCCCATCTTATGCATGTGATTTGCAGGTAAGATTTTTCCAGAAATATAATAATAATATTCTGTAACTTAAATCAATGCTAAAAAAGATCACGATAGATCCTTGTTAATCGCATGTATCATTTATATATATATATATATATATATATATATAACTTTTATTGTCTATAAGATATGAAACCATTTTAAATAAGATGCTTTCAATTTATGTGACCATGATTTAAAGTAATTGTCTAATCCATTTAAAATTTACATTTCTCTTTTTGAGAGTGTGCAAAGAATTTAAATCGTTCAGTAATTTAATGCACATTTTGCAGAATCGTGCTCTACGTTGAGCTACGAGGTGTTGGACCAAGCGTGGAGGAGCTTGAATTTTACGGTAGTCGATGGTGAGGAACACTGCGACAAGGTCGGCTGGGTCACGCAGTGGTATCGATTTTCAGGGGCAGCCGGCATCAAAATGCCAAACTGGGTAAGAATATCAGCAGATCGATGGGGATTTAACACCCAATGACATTGCTCATAGAGCAAGTACTTACGAACTTTAATACAATAGACCTAGGAGAAATTAATTTCGCCACATGACAATCATTATACATAGTGACAGTATTTGAATACAACTGGTAACATGTGAACTTAAAGTGCGACCGTGGCTTGTCTGTCAGCAGTTATTTTGTAAAAAGACACTGAGGAAAAGTTCCAGAAGCTCCTCATTGCCTATCCACAACCAGGACCCTTTAATGTGATTTGTGTTCATTTGGTCTATTTTTCACACCCTCACAAAATTCAGTTTATTGATTGGTCGATTTTTCAAGCAGCCACAAAATTTCCATGCAATCAACATGTGATCTGTATGAAACTTTATAAGTTGGAGGAAGGGATGATTTAGAATCAGTGCACACGATTTGATAAGATTACATCCAAAATTTAGAAAAATACAGAATTAAATAAAAAACAAATAGACAATAAAAAGGCAATCATATCTATTGACCAAGTCATCAAACGAGCATGTTTTAACCTTTCTGCTCATCTTTATACAGTGCGTGCCTACTCATCACTGCGGAACCCACGCCCCAGTGTGGATAAACGGCTCTAACCCTGTCCCGGAAGATTTTGCTGTCGACCGTCAAGCATGCGCAAACTGGGGGAGCGATTGCTGCAATTGGTCTTTGGATGTTAAAGTGCGGAACTGCGTGGATTATTTCCTGTATTATCTACCACCAATTACTAAGTGTCACCTTGCTTATTGTGGCGAAGGGTGAGGGTTTTACCATGTTAAACTGACTCACATCAAATAGAAACGATTGTGTCCCCATGCCTCTCAAATCTTTATTGAAAAAAAAAAAATACCAATGGTCCCCTCTTGAGATTAGAATGTTCACTAGCTGATCATAGTTCTATTCCGTACCAAATGGCACCGTTTGTCCTCAAAATTAAGGGGCGGGGTTTGGTCGACTTCGCCTCCGCGGTCCCCCCTTCCAGTAATTCTGGATCTTCCCATGGTTTGTATGTAGAATTATTACTATGCAAAAGTTTGTTGCAATATAGGGCAAGGTAATGTTCATTTTTCCTTTGTCATCCTATGGTCACGTCAAACTTTTGATTCACTTGTAAGCACACTATGTCAACAGTATAAACTCAGGTTAGTAATGAAGCTACCAGTAGAGGAATTATCTGTTGGGAATTTTCAATGTTTATTTGTTGTGATAAAATGAGGAAATTGTCGTCAGCCCTAACATGCTTTTTTATAGGCCGATATGTGTGTGTGTGTGTGTGTGCGCGCGCGCGCGTGAAGTCATATTTTCTTTCCTTTTCTTAATTCCATTCCGGAAACATACCGACATCAGTAACTAACAAAGAGGCACTCTTTATGTGCATGTTTCTAGTTTTATTCAAAACAAAGATTCTGTACATTGTAAGCCTCTAGGTTTCATGTATATTTAAAGTGACTTCATCTGTGACAAAACGAAAACTGGAATAATTGACATTCAGAGACAATGGTCAAGGTAGAAAGAATATCATACAAATATGACGTCTGTACTAAGCTGATCAAATCTTTTTGCTACAATAGCAAGAGACGACATACTAAGGTGTACTCTAAGGTCATGGTATGACATAGGGTATGCAATTACTTATGAACAAATATGAATAAAAATATAAATAGAATAATGATATCAAATAAGCCCACGATTCAACAATACATTAATTATCATGAATGTAAATCTGGATATATAAACAGTGAAAGTAAGATACTGCAACTTATTCTAGTCCAGGTCTACATTGCCGTCAAAACCAACGTTTCCCTCTGTTTATATTACCATCATCTTGGCCTTTGGGATACCTTTTCACTATACCCATGGATACACTGTGCCTTTGTTAAACTTACGTGTTATACATTTCTCACCAAAATGATCTATCTGAACAGGGTGCACAAGGATTGTGTAACATCAGACTGTTTTGACGTACATACGAAATAAATTACATCCAGCTAAAACGATAATTTAGATATGCATACCAGCACTATAGTTATGCTATATTATATACAAATACTATAACCAAATATTGAATATCAAGCATAACGAAACAAAAGTATCCCTTTCCCCTTACCTTCGCCCACCCTCGTGTACATATTGAAGGCTTGCTGCCCTATATACAGGTATATATAAGCCCTTATTTCCCTTCACTAAGTAAAATCCTGGATTACAATGTGTAAAAACACAAAAACAAATCATTAAAATAGTGAAGAAAGTTCAGTTACTGACTATATCTGTTCACGGTGCAATTATCCTCAGACAACATGGGTGCTAGCGTCAAATGCGCACATCCTAAATCGGATTGCTCTTAAGATTAGATTGCTTTCGCCGAGATTAAATTGGTTTCGAACCCTGCTACAAGTACAAGGATTTTATATCTTCTATGATTATATATCTTAAAATATATAACTAGTCCAAGTATATGTACAGTATATTTTGAAGTTGAAACAGGGTAACTCTGAAGAAAAAAATTAAGGTACTAAATGGAAGTGAAGCTCTGACATAGTGTATCCTATGGTACATGCTGGCTATCCTCTACCGGGGCCACGTAGCGATGCTGTCACTGCATATCAACACGATACTTTGCAGAGCACTAAAGTCTCTACAAATGACAATTACAGGCTCTCTGCACTACTAGTATAACAAATACATGTATGGTACATAAACTGCCCAGACAATTAACTACATAAGGCATGAGGATAGGGGGATTGTACAGAATAATACGACTTTTTAGTGATGGGTATTTCGTTTTTTTTTAATCTGGCTAATTGTTTGGATACTACTGTCCGGCACAAACTTATGCAAAAACGGTTTTAGTGCAGAGGGGTTCAAAGTCGTGCTGTTAGCCAAGCCATAAAGACAAGTTGAGATATACATGTACCATTAGTAAATGCCCGTTACAGAGAAGTAAATTAAAACTCATAAATGGACTAAATAAATATCTAAATAAATAATTAACATTTCCCAGGTTAAAGTACCGATGTCTGAAGAAAGCTTTAAAAGTAGTGAAATGAAATAGGTTTAAGACTAATTACAAAGATATGCAGCCGAAAAATAAAAGCTGCAAAAAAATTGCGTGACTTCCTGCCCGGTAGCAAAAGTGCACAGCCGAAAAGTTAAACATGTATAGGCATATTTTCGGCAGTTTTAACTCAAGAACCCAAAAGAACCTTTCCTTTTCATCAATACCGTTATATACATCGTTACTTTTTCGAATAATTTAGAATGTTCAGACCTGTTGAAACAATGGAAAGCAACTCCGCTTCAAGTCATATGTTCAAATCAATGACTAAGGTTCATATGCAGTATTTTCACGCAGTATTCCACAACAGTATTACCTTGTGCTCTACATAGGACCGTTAGCCATTTTACGTCCAAAAAGGCTCCCAATTGCCGCCCTATAGTTGTTGTTTAAGAATCCATATACTATCGGATTAAGGCCGCACCCTAACCAAAACATCTTCTTGCATATATAGGTCGTTGTCACGAGCCAAGTGGCACCATTATTATTGTTACCAGATATCCACACCATGAGTGGGTACGGACAATAACATAAGAGATACACGCATTCTGTTCTGAAAATTACTTTAAATAGTTGGATTTCCCGTTTTGTTTGGCTTTCTCTTGATGTTTCACCCGACTGTCTAGGGGTCGATGAATGCTTTGACATGTTTTTTCCCATACGGTGCACATGGCGGAAAATTGCTATATAACAACCACCCGATATGAACAATGCAATAAGGATCTGGTAAGAACTCACACGAAACACCACAGGGTGCAGGAGAGTTTCTATTTTACAGTCATCCCCGGGAGACCAAACCACCCAAATCCAATTTAAGCTGACCAGAATTAACCTAAAGACGTAGATGGCAATGCAACCTAGTATAACCTTTCTTTTTGACAAAACAGAGTCATACCTCTGAGACTGGCATATTTTGAAGTATCTTTCCACGGCTATAAAGACCGTATGTATGTTCCCCGTGGTGGTGAGAAAAGACCCTACAGATACTCTAATGAAACAGAAATAGACATTGTATTTCATTGGCTCTAAAGCGGGGACGATGTGGATTAGATGCAGTCCCACGGTGTTGAAAGGGAAGTGCACACACGCCACAAGGAGGTCAGCCACAGACAGACTGAATATGATAATGTTGGTCTGTGTACGCAACCGAGGGCACTTGATAAAGGCCGCCATGACCACAAGATTGGCAAAAGCGCACAGACCAGCCACGACAAAATTGGTGACAATAATAGGCACGCAGCCAATATTAAAGCAAGGGTCATTTGTTGAGTTTATATTAACAGTTTGAAAATCTGTCTCATTCGTTTCAAAAACCGTTCCACTAATGCTGTCTGTGGTACTCAATAAATTCAAAATACCTTCGGTAGTTACTTCCGAATGGCTTATGAAATCCATATTTGGAACGCTGGAACTGTTGACTGCGTCATTCCAAGGAGTCCCGCCTGGTGTTTTAGTAAATATTTCAAGACGTGACCGGTTGGATGGTTCTTCTGTTCCTTGCCAGTGCATGATTCAGTGAAATGATCTTACAACCGAAAACCCCGAGAATCTATTCGAACGTGTTGTTCCTAAAAAGAAAGATCAAAATATATATCATTGCTTCGTCAATGGCGTTGAACGCACAAATATGAGCCTCAACTTTACCTAGCAAAATGTTTATTTTTCTGGTCGCCATTGCATTCTTTTCACTATAAACATCAGGGCCGTAGCCTGAGCAAAATGCCAGTGGGGGGCAGTAAGCGGACACGATGTGGCGAAGCCCCCCAGGGGGTAGTGGNGGCGAAGCCCCCCAGGGGGGAGTGGGTGGCCCCCAACCAGTGTGGAAAATTCTAAATCCCAGGGGGGGGGGCAGCTGCCCCCCCTGCCCCCCCGGAGGCTACGGCCCTGAACATGCATTTGAAGTTATTTTTGCCATTAAAACCGGCAAATTTTCGCCATACTTACATACAGCATAAACAGAAATAGAAATACCAAAAGACATCTTTTCATATAACCCGAAAAGTGATATTTGAACGGACTTTTCTGGTTGCATTCTGTGTTGTATATTAACGGAGAAGAGATGCAGGTCAGATAAGAAATTCAAATTTTAATATAGGACCAAAAACTTGACGAAGGTGCGATTTAAAGCTTTTCAATGGACGATCGAATGATTAATTCCGTTAACTTATTCCTTGTAAACTATTGGTATGTAGCCTTAATTTGAGTCGTACAAGAAACTACTAGAGGTGGTTTATATGCATCACTGGGAACCCACGCTCCACTCACGCTCGGTCCAACTGTACCGTGAATCACCAATATATACCATCTCTAAAATCGCTCACAGACTTAGGATCTATAAACCGTACTTTGAATGATATGTCCTCCTGAATTAGGGTGGCTCACGTAATGCAGATGGAGACAGGCGAATATCAACCGTGGTTGCAAAATTAAAAATTGAGAACTCGAATGCAGGGGCGGATTGCGACCGTCTTCTGGGGCTTCTGGAAGACGGTCAGATTTTCTAGTTAACATTGACGGGTACCTAATTTTTTTCTGTCGGAAGAGGGTCAAATATAGAGGATGGATTAACAAAGATAAATTGGAAGACGGTCAGAAAATAGCTCTGGAACCGCTAGGGCATTTGAAAATTACTTTCATATGGTCTAAAGAGCACTGTACACGTGTGCCTTCAGGTGTATGTGGTTGATTGCTACAAGCGTAAAATCTTTTATAAGAAAGTTCCCATCATCATTCAGAACCGAACGATTTCTAGTTCATGGGATAAAGGTTGGTGGGGATTACTTGTATTTTATCAAGGCTTCTCATGTCCCTGATTCAAATATTGTAGTGAACAATTACATTCCAGCCATTTACTTTATCAATTTAGCTAGATTATGGCATGAAATTGACTAATCTGGCTCTTATCGCTCGATGTCGAAAAGACTCTACAAAATCTTCAAAGAGTAAAGCACGGATATACATACTGTGAACAAGATTATGCTTTAGAAGGTAAAAATGCTGTTTTTTCTTACCTGAATAATATTGGATGCAGTGTTTTGTACGCTACGCTGTCACACAGAATGGGCAGCTCTTAAACCGTGGACGGCGATCAGATCTAGAACAAATGTCATTGTCAAATTAGACCAGACAAAAAAACTTCATTTGGTGGCGTTCCGTAGATCACATGGTTAATCTGTGTTATATTATCACTGTCTTCTCCGTGACTACAATTTAGTACTCACCTTTATTTCTCTGTCGACAAAAGTGCTTTATTATCTCGTAAAGCAAATCGTACACATAAGAACTCTTCAGCGGCATGCTGATAATAAGAAAATAATGAAAAATATACATATTCCCCATTCACAGTCGGTTAATGCAACAACCGCCTTTTGTGTCTTTTGTGGCCACTGTTGCTAAGGCACGCTTTCCAGAGCAATTAGTTTTAATATCGGGACTTCCTTTATGTTTATGACTTTTGCACTTAAATAGGTTGTTAACGGCTATCTTAACCAAGTTGTGCTTTTTTGATTTGCACATTCTCAGACGAAATTATATCATAATAAACGAACTGCATCATTATTTTGATAGTAACTTGTCTCTGTACATCATCAAGTGTAGATACTTACCATACGATTTAGATAGCCAGTGAATTGCTTTGCAACGGGTTTTCTCCTTCATCAAAACCGTCCCCACAAGAAACTGGGTTTATAATTATGTCGTCATTTCAAAGCTACATATGATACCAGAAGTATGCTATCATTACCTGTTGAGCCGTATTAGCGAGACTTGGATTATCCGTTTAAGATATCTGCCGGAGTCAACGTCTTTTTCTAAGCCAACACAATGTGCCCAATTTGCATTACCGTGAATTACAACATCGTTAATTTGTAGATACCGCAGTGCTATTAAGTTTGGTTGACTTTGACGAGTTTGAAACTACTGGAAACTCCTGTCCGTCTCGAGGAACTGAGAAAATGGTGATGTCGTTTATAAATAATGAGTGAGTGTTTGTTTCATCCCTCAGTTATCCATTTCCGAGAATATCCCACACATTCTCAACGATGTTCTGAGCTAAGGATTAAACTGGCCATTCGGAAGGGGTGGAGAGAGAGAGAGAGAGTTGGTTTGGCTTTTTCTAGTTCTATGGTTCCCACAATCTCTTAAGATTTCCTTCCCAGTACCTGGGTGCAATGGTCTATTTTTATGTTCCCGTTTAATAGTCAAGCTACAGTAGTTATGACAATGTTCTACTACTCACGTCCTTAATTCGCGTGATGGTGGTTGCCTAATTGTTATGTGATAATGAAATTAAATCCACGATGACCCTTGTAGCAGTATACATAAATGAGGTAAGGGTGACACTTTATTTGTGCCCTGAAAGTATATATTATTCTAAATTGTTTAGAACTAAACTTGACTTTAGAACTTAAAAATCTTTTATCTATATTTATCACCAGACATATAGCTATTTTAGCATGACACATACACTGTAGTGGAACAGTGTAGAGAATCCTTTGTTTTTAAAACAGTTAAAACTGATATTTACAACTTCCTAATGTCAAAAATAATCTGTTTGAGCAGCTATGTTAGGATATACGTGAAAAACTGACATAACTGAATGTGTCTATCTCCAAACAAGTTGCGTGTTATTTCTCGAGTCATCTACTCAAAGACGCAGTCAATCGGGTCTAATGGCAGAGTCATACAAGGTTTTAACAATGAAGAACAGCAGTTACTAAGTAGATTAATTTCCCTTATAATACAGCAATATCTACATGTATCTTTAAAATAATCTGTCGCCTCGGACCAAAAACTTCCCCATAATGAANGGGCCAAAAACTTCCCCATAATGAAAATCTGGCTGGGGATTCAGTTTTTCATTCAATTCATTAAACCTTTAAGCCCTACGGCTCATCAGTATATAAAACAGTGACAATATAAAGTTATATCTAAACAACTACTACTGATACAAACAATAATAATAATAATAATAATTCATCAGATTGACATTAATCTTAGTTCCGATGCACATTTCAGGTATTTTCCCAAATTGTTTAATTGCGATATATTGTTAAGTGATAGTAATTTAATTAATTTAAAGACACTTGGCTTTGTATAATAAAATTTCTTAATATATTTCTGCCTAATCGTGTTGTAGTGAGGGCATTTAAGAATAAAATGAAATTCATCCTCTACATCGTTTAAATTGCATAACTTACAGATTCTTAATTTCCTATTTGTGTCTGTGTATCGGCCAGTCTCTACAGCTAGATTATGTGATGAGAGCCTAAATTTTGTGATAAATTCCTTATTTTTCTGTGAAATTGGCTTATTCAAATAAAATTGCACTGTGAAATTATCAACAAGGTGTTGATACAGAAGCCCTTTACTGGCTGTGAATATTTCTCCCGTCAGTACTTGTCTAAAATGATCCTTCAATCTTTGTTCTATCAAAGACAGTATACATACATACATCCCACATGTTTTCATAAATGACAGACCCATTAATTCAAGGTCATTCCGTATACAATTTATCCACTCAAAATATTGTTAAGGATATCTTTATAGCATGTTTGTATAATACAGTTTTTTTGAAGAGCGGATTTTCAGCCAATATTTAAAAATTCTTATTTTTCTACTTAAAATAAGTGGATATCGTCCGGTTTCATAATATACTAAGTTATTACTAGTGCTTCTTTTAACACCCAGCATTCTTTTAAAAAAATCAGTATGTACTTTTCTTATATCCTTTGCCTTATTAAATCCCCATATTTCTGATGCATAATTTAAAATACTACCAACGTACGTATCAAATACTGCACACCTGGTGGACACATTAAAGTTATGTTTTTTAACATGCTGCTAATAGCAAATAATGCTTTTTTACCCTGTTCTGCTATATGTTTTTGTGTTTGACAAAACTTTCCATTAAAATTAAAAAGTAATCCGAGATAACTAAATTGATTCACCCTTTCTAAGACAACACCGTTATATTCCCATTTCTCTTCAGCCATTAACTTACCCCCATTTCTAAAGACCATTGTTTTTGTTTTTGCTGTATTAACCGTTAAATTCCACTTTTGTGAGTATAATTTCAGGGTATCTAAAAGTTTTTGTAGTCCTTGAGGAGTTTCCGATAAAAGTACCGTATCATCTGCGTACATAAGTAAAAAAAGATTTGTCCTGTTTTTCAATACTTTCACAATTTTCCGATAAGCAAAAAGTTTCAAAATCATAAACATACAAAGAATAAAGTAGCGAGGATTACCTCTCCTTGTAATAGACCGGTGTGTATTTGGAAGTATTCAGATAGCTGATCTTTAAACTTAACACAAGCCTTTACATTGCTGTAAAGACTTTTATAATTTGGAGCAATTTACCCTGGACACCGAGTTTATTTAATTTCTTCCATAAACTCAGCCTATCGATGGAATCGAAAGCGCATTTATAATTCACAAACGCACAATATAATCGCTTCTTACTCCTTAAAGTACGATTTATCACGTGCTGTAACACAAAGATAGCATCTACGGTACTATGTCCCGCTTTAAATCCAAATTGTGCGTCGGTTGTAACACTGTTATCCTTATCCCAAGCTTCTAAACTTTTATTAAGTATGGAAATAAACAGCTTGCCTAAACAACTAGTTATCGTAATCCCCCTATAATTACAAGGATCATCAACATTTCCCTTTTTATGTAAAGGTATAATACAACCCTTACACCAATTCTCTGGAAAGTGCCCCGAATCTAGTACAGAATTAAACAAAGTTCTTCACGCCGGTATTAAAACATTTTTACAGTGTATAAAAAATTCATTTATCAGACAGTCCTCGGCACAGCTCTGGTTAACTTTTAATTTTTTTAATTGAACCAATGATCTCACCGTCACTCACGGGACTATCTAATTCATTGAACACTGTCTCGGTGTATAAGCCTACATTGGGGTCTACTTCGCGTATGTCACAATCTATTCCACCAGTCGTCGTGTTCTTAAAATAATCATAGAGTGTATCGATAGTAAGCTCCGAATTAACGTTTACACTCTTTTTGCGTGAGAACTGCTTATAAAAAACACGCAGAGAAACGCAATAGTACATTGGGATGTCGGATGACTCGGATTCTATTCTATTGAATCTACCCCGTATATGTACGGATTGTTTTTTTATCGGTTAGCTTATTCAAAATAACTGCAAAAGGGTAGGAGAAACTACATGTACATGTAGATGTGATGTTAAATGTCAGATACGCTGCCCTGCAGAAGCCCCGTTCCACACTGAGCAATTATCTGCACAGTTATACCTTCTAAGTCAGCATTTCTCTTTTTTATACTTCAGATTTGGTGAACCCATTGAAAACAGTTTTCGTACTAAATTTCATATTGGCTTATACTTATCAACTAGTAGAAAAAGTCTAAGAAGTAGCTATTTAAGGAAAATTAATACATGTATTTTGGGGAGGCACATAAATTGCGCTTTTACCTCACTCTCTGTGCCCATCAATCCAAGTTTGTTTTTTTTTTTTTTGACTTAGAAAGAAAATCCATTTTCTCCTACCTGTAAACTGCTAAATCTGAATACAGATCTGGACTATAGAAGACAACTGAAGGCTGAGCACTGATCTGCGACGCCTTGATTCTCGTCAATGGCTGTGGATTCTATCAGACTGCTTGTGCCGCTTGAATTTAAACCTGCTTGTGACTGGATGAAAAGCTCTCACTGTTCAAGGGTATCATCGATATATTGTATATTCACATGGTCCTCTTCCACGTTTATGTATTTCTCGTACGTCAATCATCGGCAACTGAAAGCCAATCAGTGCTTTTCACATCCAGGCCTTATCACATAGCCTATCACTGAGCAGTACTTAGATTTGTTCTCGACAAGCAACGTGCTCGCTACCGTTGCAGCGCGTTGATATACTGTTAAAGTCAGACGATCGCTCTCCTAAAGTCTTACTCGTAAATGCTGTTTTATCTTTCATTTTTCAATTAATAATAATAATAATAATAATAATAATAATAATAATGCAGACACCCCGTCAGTATTTTACATATTCTTCCAGGGGCGGATTTAGGCCGTCTTCTGGGTCTTCTGGAGGACGGTCAGATTTTCAAGTTTACATTGTCAGCCATCTAATGTTTTCTGTCGGAAGACTGTCAAAAATGGAAGATGGATCAACAAAGATAATTTGGAAGACTGTCAGAAAATATCTCTGGATCCGCCCCTGTTCTTCTATCTTCTACCCTTCACGAGGGGCTGAGGGGGCGCTTCTCCATCTTTTTAAGATGTTTCACAATTAAATGAATGACCCATGTAAGATATGAGATATCAAATCCAACAATTTTGCCAATTCGATCTCAACAAATAATAAGTATGACGAGTGTCAGTGGGCGATAAGCTTGTTTGCAGTTGCGAGACTGATGGCTCACTGGCTTACAGTCAGTCGGCTTACTGGCGAGAAATAGATATTTAAATTGTACGTGTACATGTAGCTTTTTAATCAAGTGTCAGCGGGCGATAAACTTGATAAGCTTAAGCTTGAGCTAATATCTTCCCGCCCATTTAGTGACGCGAAAATTGCATAACTCAGTTTTGAAATCATCAGTGTTTGTGATATACATATGAAGTTACATGTTTGTCAGGATTTTTGTAAAAAAAGGTACAATTTAAAAATAACAAACTTAATAATATTTAATGTGAAACATCTATTTCAGGTAAATTGTGATAAAAATGTGCCCTATTGCTCCTTCAAACCCTTTCACTTAACCCTAACCATACCCGGAATGTTTAAGACCCATCGGCATTGTTAATTAAATATCGATAATTTTGGTAGTTACACCACAAGCCTTTTTGGTAAATGAAAATCATTCTTATACACAATGTTAATTGGGGCCGACCGCACCGAGATTTATACGTGCACCGCTGATATATTTGGGTCGATCTTGGACCGGAACTGTGTCATTCCAAATATTACCTGTGTATACAGAGAACCAAAAAGGTAAACATGTTTATATGTCATATTATGTACCATTGTATCACCTGCCAAACGAACGGTGTAAATCTACACTCCAATTTTCCAAATAATCACTATTTTTATATGAAAGTTTGCGTATCACCGGCCTCCGAGAACAAGGGGGCGAATTAAAGACACACCACACAATTGGAAAGGCAATCTCTTTACATCAGCGGGTTGATCAGGCACAACGCTGTCAGTGGCGTTCGGCTGCAAGAAAAAACGTCCGTTACAACAACGACCTGGTGCAATCGGGAAGTTACGGGGAAAAAAGCCGGTATAATTTAGAATAAGTGATCGATTTGACAACAACTTATTGCTGGCCATTATCTTAAAGTCTCCCTTTCTCTTCACTTTTAAAGTCTTTTAAATGATGCTTAGACGGGAATGATCATAGTTCTCTATCCTTTACCATCTACGCCACAGATCAAATTTAGTGTAAACAGCTCTTCCGACATGGCAACATGCATGTCATACTGCCCTTTCAACAAAAAGTGCTGTTTTCCCAGCAGAAAGTTTTTTTTCAAAAGTCATGTCGCCCCTATTGCTTTACCCAAGCATTTTTTCGTGCCCACTCCCCCTGCTTATCAAGACTGTTCCTATGATCATACAGTGCTGTGCAACCCCACACTCGACATTAAACATTGCAAAACTAATCAAAACCTCAATCTCTCAGGTGTGAACATCTTTTGAAAGTCCTCGTGCTCTATAACGTCACATGTGAAGTCAAAATCAGTGTAATCTAAGTAGTCTCTGTGTAAAACAAAATAAAAGTAAAACCGAATGAAGTCATCCAACTAGGAACGTTCCAGGCAAACTTATCAATTAAAGCGCCCAAACTTGAATTCACTAAGTAGCCTTCTCGACATAACACAACGTTTAACAGTTGCGGTTTTAGAGGGGAGGGGGTCTGAAGAAAAGATCACACTAATTTTCTTCCCTTGAAATTAGAATTTTGAAAAGCTGATTCATAGTTCTAAACCGTACCAAATGGCGCCGTTTGCCCCCTAAAACACTCCTAGGGGGGAGAGAGTCGGCTTCTTATCCGACGCCTGTAATTACTAACAAAAATCGGACCACCATTTAAATAATCCTGGATCCGCCCATGGAGAGACTGTCGATCTAATGTTGACTATTATATAAGATTGTCACCTAAATGAGTGACTTTTGGGTGCCTGGGGCCAGTAAAAGGGAGTACCCCCCCTCCCCCCGATGAATTACCTGTAAGAACCCGGTAAAGTGACACGGTAAACAGTGGCGGATTTGGGGTGTGTGGTCAGGGGGGCCCTTCGATTTCTGAAAAAAAATTACACCAATGGTCCCCTCTTGAAATTGGAATTTTGACTTGCTGAATCATAGTTCTAAACCATTCCAAAAGGCTTTGTTCGCACTCTCAAATACCAATTTTCCGGTCCTTTCAGCGGACCACGGACCCAACGCTAAGGCAGGAGGGGGGAGGGTCGACTTCGCATTTGCCTCCTTCCCCGTCCCGCCTTCAAAATATCCTGGATTCGCCCCTGTATAATAGCCTTTTGCTACCGTATTGTTTTTTAAAATCAATAATAATAATATATTTCTTTCAATTAAAGCCTGTCATACGTGTGAGTGTACAGTGTCAACTATTTTCAATTATATAATTACAATGATAAAATTATAAATAACCGTATATGAACTCAGTAGGCCTACCCTGTTTAAATGTAGGCCTACAGATGTACGTGGCACTGTGGCACACCGGCACCTGCAGCATTAATTTAACTATTGAACAACGACGAAGAACTGAGGTTAATTATGGTCTCTAAGTGGCGGTAGATTGGGAGACGATCAGGTTACAGTGCTTCACGAGTTTTACTGACACCTGTGAACTAACTCAATGCAGTGTCCACGACATAGATGACAAGCAGAAGATATAGCCTAAAGATTAGCAATTTGAAACTTAACTCAGATTTTGTATGGAAGCGTGAACGTGTTTTTTTCTTCTTCATCAGCCTGATGCACCTAAATCTCGACCATCTGTGGAACTCTTTCACTCTATAATTTACCTAGATATTTTAGATCGCTCTTTCGCTCGAGTATTTCATTGCTCTGCATTTTCTTGTCACACTTTAGTGAAAGAAATAATTTTAGTGGAATTCATACAATAAAATATCTCGTACAACTAGCGACATTATCTTGACAAATCACGAAATACACGATTCTTGAAACGAGACCATACTGCCGCATAATAGTAGAGGGGCGTTGAGATGTCTTTTAGGTGGCTCGGTATGGTTGATTCAAAGTAGCCTACAGTGTAGGCCTATATTAGACCATTGTTACGACAAAGATAATGTTTTTTTTTTTTTAATTAATTATAGGCTAATCAGTTTAAGATAGAAATTGTAAGATGCTTATAAAGCAAAAGTTTATTTTTCGATTATTAAACCTGCTTTATGCGGCTATAATCAGTTTATTCTTAAATTTAAAACAGTTTGGTCCATTGATAATAGTTGGGTCCTTGCAACACATAGGCTATAACACATACAACGTCACGTATAGAAACCGCATTTAAACTACTTATTCAGTAGAAATACTCTAAAATATCAATTTAGTAAAATAATAATGTGTAAAATGTATTTCATGGCATTTACATGGGATACTATAAGGTGCAAACTTTTTCTGACCCTTGGGCCAACTTGCCCCCCCCCCCCCCCCCCCACTTGCATATATAGTTGAGCTCATGCAGCTTGCTTTAACACCAGGTTTGTTGTTCTAACTCATTCCCAGTTCGCTCTACAAAGCCAAAAGTGTCTAAGGCTTCATTCACATGCAATGTCTATTTTCTAAAATCTATTTTCTATTCGCGGTATCTTATGATCATGGTCTGTGCCCTGAATATCCCGCGGCGTAATTACTGGCAGCGCGAGCCAGTTACT